CTGTTTCAGTTTCTCCTTTCTGGCGGCAGAATGTAGTGGGAATGATTTTTCAAAATTAGAATGTACAGTTTTATGATGTCCCTCAATATTTCCTTTTTTAGCAACGGAGACCGAAATATACACACATTTTCAATTTTTATCTTTAACTTCTGTAAAAAAGTATTGTTCTTCCCATTCCGAATGAAAGTGGTATGTATTTACCTTCTTACAACTGCTTGCCATAATATTATTTTTGTTGTTCTCTACTGAGCTCAACACATTGAAGAGGTTGGCGACCACTGAACTAGAGTGTCACCAAGATTTAGTCAAAGCCTCGGTAGATAATAACATTATCCTGAGGTGGGTTGAAGGGCACGACAGGAGTGAAGGTAGTCGCATTGCCGACTCTTTAGCCAAGGAAGCGGCTGGACTAAGGATTTTAGGACCCAGTGGCACCTACTGCCTGATGACTTCGACAATTGCGGAACTAACCAAACGTCACATCCATGCTCAATCCTTAAAGAGATGGGATGGAATCATAGGATGCAGTTTTGCCTGGATCACTCTGGGCGACCCTGGGAAGCTGGCACCCACTGTTTTTTATACTTCAGTTCACATTATATCTTCATCTATATTTTTATATTCATTTACTAGCTTTGTCAACAATATTTTTCTTTGGATGATAAAGTATACTCCTCATCATCATCATCACTTCGTTTTTTCCAGTGTCGAAGACATCAGTAGTCTGGCAAAATCACCCAACATCAAAGAAATATCAATAGACAACAACCCGATATCGCTGGGGGGCGACTGCGTCTCATTCCTCGTTTCGTACCTTCCTCTACTCATCAAATTGAACTCCATGCAAATAACCGAGCAAGTCCGGAAGGCTGCCATGGCCTGGAGGAGGAACAAAGAGCTCACCAATGCGACGTTCATGGATCTGACGAGCGACGTCTCTCTGACTTGCAGGCGAGAAGAAGTCATCTCCAACGCCAGAACCAACTGGGAGTTGCTACGGTCACAGACGAAGTGTCTCACGACAAGCGTTAACATCGTGGAGAAAAGCGTTAAGAATCTCAAGCCGGATACTGATTTCATTTTGACGCCTTTGAGGAAGACCGTTGCTTCGAATATCACCAGGCCGGCGAAGTCGAAAGTTTATGTGAGTAGTTTGGGGCTTTTATTGAAGTATGGACTCAGCTTTTGATTTTACAATATGTTCGAAGATTTCAATTATTTCTATGACACACAAGAAAATGAGCATCGTTGGTGTAAAAGTGGATGAATCATGGAGTAAAAGTATCTACTTGAGTTCAGCAATGCGTTTGTCCTTCAGTCTAGCACCACTGATGAGACCTATGGCGGTTCGAAACAGTGCTCGGCTTTGCACCTGACCACCTTGAAGAGCCTCGTTTATCTTTGATATTCAAGGATTGAGTTCTCTGTTGATCCCATAGATGGGTCTGTTCGATCTTATCACATTGCCTTCTCCATGGGCCTGTCTTAAATTTCCTCAGAGCTTTGTTGTATTCAGTTAGAAACCTTATATGTTGATCCCAGAAACCTGATTTTTTGTCCATTTTGTAGGTTTTTCTAGAGTGTTGTCTCATCTTTACCTAATATTCATTCCACCAGGAAGCGTTTCTATTTGATCTCTGTTTGAATCTCTGAATAATTTCAAATCTGCATTCTCCAGAAAGTCTACTGCGATAAATTTGTGAAATAACTGTCTTAAACAAATTTATTTCCAACAATATTCACTAATCACAAACTAATTTATTCACAACATCTAGCAACTAACGCTTAATTTATTTCCATTACTTGAATTCTTTGTTTAGCCGCTCGATTCACTTTCTGAACAGCCCTCTCGAGTCGGGAAGCCATGCTTATATCGATAACGGTTTAATTATAGCGTTTTACCGGCGATTCCCGACTGCATTCTTTCGCGGTGATGTCATGTGTTTGTTCGCTGAGTCGGCCGGCATATCGACCAGGGGTGGCTTTAGACTCGTTACACTGCATTTTAAAAAGGAATAATTGCCTATTCTTATGATTATTGGGACTGAAATACATGATTATCATTATTTCACCTTATTAGGGTACTCAAGGAACAAAAGTCCCCGTACTAGCCGACAAAAAACTGAATCTGCTCAGAACCTCATCCCAAGACACGGAATATTCACAAAACACGTCGTCATCGAACACTTCTGGCAACGAGTTTTTCAAACTACCTCCTATCCTAGTTCCTATTATCAGTAAGCTGGAAGAAGATCACGGCAAAGAAGGAAGCAGCAAGGGAAGCCTGTCCAGCGTTGGTCCGAATATCGATAGCTCAGCGAGCTCTTTCGCTAGTGGAAGTGAAGTCGATGCTGCCGAGTCTTTTTATAGTTCATGTAGCTCCAAGGAATCCGATTCGGAGTCGGAAGGTGATGTGGAATTTGAGAAAAGGGAATCGGTAGAGGATCCCCAAACGTGAGTAAAGGCATACTTTTATTGTTTGTTTGAAAGTGGTTGACAATGTTTCGTGGTGAATTTTACGAGTTCGGACTTACATTGTGTAACATGATTCTAATCTGATCTGAAATCTCTGAAAGAACAAATAAAATTGAAATGAGTAGCTAAAATTATCGATTATATTAAGCAATAAAATGTGAAATGAAACAACAATAAAACAAAAGTAAGCCAAAAAATAAAAATTGAACAACTGAAAATGAAATTGAAAAATTAAAAAGGATTCCAAACCGAGTTACTCCACGACATTTCGATTGTTAGTATCCACAATCGTAAACAGGTGATGACTGGAATATTTCTTCGAGAAGTGACTATTCATAGGTCATTAGAATGCTTCCACCCATCCCCTCTTCACTCCCCGCTTCACCGGTTTAGCGGGAGTTGAGTATTTTTTCGCTCGATTACCGGTTTCCATATGTTGTGTATTTCTACGTTAGCTTAGCTGATTGCGTCCTTGGACAACATATATGCAGCTCCTTTGAACTTTCTCTTGAACCAGGGTTCCTCCCAGTGGCTGATCCTCAGCTTGATACCACTTGATCTTATGTTGATGAGTTCAAATATGCTCTGTTATTCCCAATTTGCTGTTTTCTCCTTGCTGTGTGTTTCTCTCGTGCTTGGCAAAGCGAACTTTCAATGGTCTCTTACTTTCATCGATATAGGATTTGCCGCACTCACAGTATATCGTGAGGCTACTACAGATGGTGTTTCTGGATCAGATGCAGGTTCTGATGTTGTACTTGGACCTAGTTCTTCTTATATTTTTCGATAATCCTCTGACGTAGAGAAGGGCAAGCAATGTCTGTGACGGTTTATCTTCCTTGTGAGGCTCTTGCTGTATTCTAGCCAAAATCTAATGCCTAGTTTCTTTTTCGAGATCTTCCTTCATAATTCAAAGCTCTATAACGATTCCGTACACAGCTTCCTAGTAAGTCCATGAATACATGAAAAATTAAACTTTCACTTTTATGTGTTACTAATGTTACTGCAGTTTCGTTCTATGAGGACATTTTTAATCAATTACAATAAATTGTTGAATTGTAATAATTGTTTGTTTTGTATTACAATTACAATAAATTGTTGGATTGTAATTGGTTGTTTGAATTACAGTTACAATAAATTGTTGGATTGTAATTGTTTGTTTGAATTACGATAACAATAAATTGTTGAATTGTAATTGTTTGTTTGAATTACAATTACAATAAATTGTTGATTTGTAATTGTTTGTTTGAATTACAACTACAATAAATTGTTGAATTGAAATTGTTTGAAAATGTTTTTATAGGACGAAACTGCAGAGTAACATTAGTTACTAATAAAAGTGCTAAGGGACATAGAAAGTTTTATTTCGCATTTTTCATGACTTTGCGATCCATTAAATTTTTCCAAATCTATCACTTCAATTAATTCAATTGCATGGTATGCCTGTCATGGATTTTGCTCCTTTCCCTTCGTTTACAGGAAGTTTCTACTTCATTCTAATACCTTCGTGGATGATCTTGTTGTCTTTCACTTACAAAGAGGTTAAACTGCTTTGGGTCCCTGATATTTTTGTTCTCCAAAGTCTTGAAATCACTAATATATGGCGACCCATTTCGTTCTCTCAAATATTGAACAGAGTATTTTCTCCACAAAAATTAGTTTCGTTCAGTATAATGGTATTTGTCAACCTGAAATTTTCGATATAAAAAAATGAAGGAATTGCATAAAGTGAATTTATTTTGAAAAAGTGGCCAATATAATAGAGGATTGTTTATCTACTGATGTTATGCCTGAAGGGCATAAAATCTGATATCATTTACCTCTTTTCCCGAATGGTAAAACGAAAAAACATAATTTCATGGTTTCAATTTGTGGAGTTTTGGTCATTTTCGAACCCCATTCTGTATATTTTCTGTTGCAATAAGCTCGCTTCGCAAATTGCCCCTGAGGGCATTAAAAACTTTGACATAACTTCAATTTGTCAAATAGATCATACTAGTTTAAAATAGAATATATGAATTACGTCTACTTGTCATCTATCTCTTTCATGAATCAATTTCAGTAAGTGTGTGCCCATTGCCGTTCCACTCCTGCGTGAGAATCCAGCAAAGAATCCCACTGCTGCCACCGATTCGTTAAGTATCCTCTCAGGAGCTACTAGCTCCTCGAATATATCGAATCCAAGCCACTCCAGCGGTGATTCGAATAAATCTCTGACTAGGAACGTCAGAAGCGCGGTTCACGGAAAGACACTGCCTCCTAGATGCAATACCAGAGCTTCAACAGCTAAGACGAAGAAACAGTCCTCTCCTCCGTTGCCGAAAGACAGAGAACAAGGTAAAGAATTATTTGAAATTGTGTTACAGTAATTCCTCCGATAATGAGTTCCAAATAATTTGAATTTATCGCTAAAAATCACACTAAACACCACGAACACAAAATATAGGTTACAGAAATTCGACCCCTCCGAAGCATACTGCCGCCAGATGAGTGTTTCTTTTATAAGATATTTTGTGGTGCAGTGCAATTGAACACAATTTAGTACAATTTCATTTTCTGGGTTGGCAAAATTGATCGTTTTTGAATAACATCACTGCTTTGAGTAAATTACTATTTCCTTTCTATTCATGACAACGAGTAATAATATTATGAATCTGTGGAGATACCTAATATAATGAGCACGTATATATGATGTTCCCAATGAAATATCATACTGCCCTCGAATTCACATCAATTTTACGTGTATTATTAGTCAAATGACGTCACCGTGTTCGCTAGGATCATAATAGAACCAATAGGTTGAGGGTCACCAGGGGCTGCCCTCAAGGTGGGGTACTATCTTCCCTTTTGTGGTCGCTCCTGATGGATAGTCTGCTTGATGTCCTCGACAGAAAAAAAGTTGATCTGCAAGCTTATGCAGATGACCTTGTCATCCTGGCAAGGTCCACGTCGTGAAGGGTAGCTTGTAATATCCTCCAAAGCACGTTGGACATTGTTCACAGTTGGTGCCTGAGGGAGCAGATGTCTGTCAACCCCAGCAAAACTGTGTTAATTCCCTTCACCAAGAGAAGAAAATTGGATGATCTAACGTCACTTTCCGTCAATGGTGAGGTCCTTCCATTTGGAACGGACGTGAAGTATCTTGGCATTGTCCTTGATGAAAGACTCATGGAACGCTCACTTGGAAAAGGTTTTACACTAAGCCAGACTGTCTCTATGGACATGTCGAAGGATTTGTGGTAAAACTTGGAGTTTAGGTCCCAAACAAATCCACTGGATTTATGTGATGATTGTCAGACCAATGATCACTTATAGTGTAATTGTCTAGTGGCCGAAGGCTTTACAGAAAACGGCCCAAGCGCAGCTCTCTGGTTCATAGAGACAGGCTTGTCTGGCTATCAGTGGTGCCATCAGTACCATACCGTTAGCGGCCATGGAGATCCTTCTAGACCTACATCCTCTCCACATTTTTCTGGAGAGAGAGGCTAAATGGACTGCATGCAGACTTGTGCACATTGCCAATTGCACAAATGAATTTAATGCAGAGTGTAACAGTCTGTTGGTTGACACTGGAAGTCACAGCATTCTGGAAATGACCTCTGACTTTATGCCTCTAACTGTCAACTACGAACTGCCTTATAAAGTACTATTCCCGAGTAGAGAGGACTGGATCATCCGGGAGAAGGAAATATTAAAAGCAGTTAGTTGGTTCACAGATGGATCAAAAACACCTTCCGGTTCTGTTGCAGGTGTTTTCAGTCGTAGACCCAGGACAGAGATATTTACCTGCTTAGGAACTTATGCGACTATATTTCAAGCGGACATTTACGCTATTGAATTGTGTGCGGAGAGATTGGATAAATCCAAACTCATACACAAGTCAATGAAAATATTCTCGGACAATCAAACGGCGTTGGTAGCTTTTGGCTCCTACCGAGCAACGTCTAAATTGATAGCAAATTGCCAAAAGCGACTCATCTTGATAGGAAGACTTAACAGTTTGTCTCTGGTTTGGATTCCTGGCCATACTGGCCTGGAAGGCAATGAAGTTGCTGACTCTCTTGCAAAGGAGGATGCGGCAAGCAGCTTCATCGGACCAGAACCTGTCATTGACATCGCATTAGGCTTTGACAAGCAAATATTGAACACCTAGATGGCAAAATGATTTATGGACTTCTGGCAGAATCTTCTAGTATTGGCTCACTCCAGGGCGTTTATTCACCCTTCGAAGTTTGATACCAAACAGTTGTTGGACTACAGTAGCGGTGAACTACGATGTCTAACAGGCCCTCTTACTGGTCACTGTCATTTGAATCATCATATGCAGAGTCTTGGAGTGTCGGAAGATAGTGTGTGTGTCGCCTCTGTTTAGAAAATGATGAAACAGTAGAGCATAAACTTTGTGCCTGCCCCGCTGGGGACCGAATCAGGTTCTTAGAGTTCGGCAGAGCCGTACTCTTACCAACTGACCTGAAAGACCACTCACCATACAAACTAATCGGCTTCGTTGAGAAGCTGGGTTTATTTGGCCGAGTGTAGATAGGTGTGAGCCAAAATAAATCCTTGCGGGTTACGGTGGAGGGTCGAATAGACCCACTCACTTTGGATCTAACCTAACCTAACCTATATCATTGGTGAGTTGATAAGACCACTCACCATACAAACTAATCGGCTTCGTTGAGAAGCTGGGTTTATTTGGCCGAGTGTGAATAGGTGCGAGCCACAATAAACCCTTGTGGGTTGCGGTAGAGGGTTGAATAGACCCACTCACTTTAGACCTAAACTAACCTAACCTACAATATGCCGTAGATATAGTTACAAATCGATATATGGAGCCAATCATCAATTGATCTCTGAGAATTTATATTCCTATATTGAATATACTGACAGATTTTTTGAATTAAATACTCGAGGTTATCGCAAAATACACTAAAATTTTTGTTTTGATAAGACGATCGTTTCAAATTTGAAAGATTTTCAATTATACTTAGTTCTTAGATTTTTATGTTCGTCATAATTCGAACAGTTGAAAGTTTAATGGATCACAATTTACATCGTCACATTAGTTGCCTGACCAAGTATACCAGTATAACAAATTTTTAGTATGAGAGCCGCAGAAAAACAATTAATCATCAATTTTGACAGGAGGAGACTACCTTATAGAAATATGCGGCAGACATCTGAACATTTATGGACAGGGAGCCTTGAGGTTTATTGACAAACCTTGGAACGCTAGCAAAGCCCACGACGTTAACACAGTCAAGTTCAACTACGTTAACTTCAACAGCGTTACTGGAGTGCTTGGCAAATTTAAGAACAGATTCCCGAATGTGGATCATTTCGCCTTCAAAGAAACCAACATTACATGTCTGGGACAGCTGAACGCGCTGGCTGAGATCCAAGGGATGTCCTCCTTGTACATAGATCTGGAGGGGAATCCCATCTGTGACAAGAGTTGGAGAAGTTACGCTGTCTATAGGTTGGCACACTGGGGGCTCAAAACTATAAATAACGAGGAGGTTAGCAATTTTTCATAGATCCCTAGAAACCTTTTTGAATTTTTGCCAATTTGAAACTACTTTTTCAGATCACAGGAGACGAAATTAAGCTCGCCAATGAAGAGTACCAAAGTCTCAGCGATTTGGTTCTCTGGTCGCTACCAGATGTTCTGCTACAGCCTTTATTGGTTCGCTTGAGAATCGATATCAACCATGGAGTTTCGGAACAAAATCCAAAAAAATGGTTACTGTCTGCTGATCCTGAGCTGAAGAGTGTTGTCAGCAAAGAAGCGCTTCAGTGGAAGAAGGCTTCTGCATCACAGGTGAGGCAATCATAAACTATGGAAACCTGATGATATCTTGTTAAAAATTATCAAGTTGGAATTGGAGAATTCAGCACCAAGCCTCCACATTCGCCAGATCTGAGTCTTCATGATTTTATTATGAACAATACATCTCAGTGACATTTTTTTGGTATCTTTACCCTAATAATTTTTTTAACAGGAAGACGCACTTATGAGACAAAAGGCCAAACAGTATATTACGAGTCTGCTAGAAGAGATGGCCAGTGCGATGAACAAACTGGTGGTTTTGGATCAAGAGTGGCCTACGCTTCTCCACGACTTTGTCCAAAACACCCTGCTGGACTACTCACAACTAGATTTGTACATGAAGCAAAAGATTCAAGAGTTGAATAAATGATATATACACTGCCATATACCTGATAGATATGTTTTGTACACATTGTTGGCACAGTTATTTTCATAAGAGTTTGTATCTGTTTCTGTTGTGATTGTATATACTATTTAATAAAGTGAGTTTTTTTAATGAAATCTTGTCTTTATCATAAAGAAGGATCTAATCAAGATAATATATTTTTCATCTTATAAGTAACCTCAGAAGTATTATGAAGACTTGTGCGTGATGAAGAAAACGGGATCTAATCTTTTATTATGCAATCGCTAGCACCACTTGGGCTGAAGTCTGAACTTCTAATGGAAATGATGTGGGCGTCATATATTCCTTATATTTTTAGGCGTCAAAGAAAGGAAAATACTATGTACTGACGAAAAAGGTATCTGAATTGAAAGAAAAAGAAGTTTCAACGTATAAATTTCTTTAATTATTGACCTAACTAGGTATATAGTATAAGGTATACTGCCTTCTAAATAAAAATGTTTATACTAAGGGAATGTCGACCAAAAAAGTATGAATGCCTACCTTTGTTGTTTACAGGACATTTCTCTAGAAATTTCTTCCATATTTTAGTCTAGATTACTTTCTCCCAAAATTCACTATTACTTTGAATGAATAATGTAGCAAAAATTTTCAAGATTTTTCCCAAATGGTAACATATTATTCAAATATTTTTGTAAAAGTAATACTTCAATACATGAATGTTATCTCATAATTCACGTAGGGAATTCATTCTTTCTTGGTTGATATATTTTGTCAACAATGGAATACTTACTATCTCAACTTCTGGGAATGAACTAGAGGCAAAATATTTATCAAATGTAACCGGTAGACAACAACCATAATATCAACCATTAACAACATTTTTAAAATAATATTCAGCTAGCTCTCTATAAATTGCACAAAAAAGTTCAGAATAGGATTTGAATTACAGTTAATTCAATACAAAGATCAACAATTATACCCGAGACCAAAAAAATGACCATTTCAATCCGGTTCGAAAAACTAAAACCCAAAACAAAATATCTCGTAACGAGTATGGTCTCAGAAAAAAAATAATTATTCTGAATTTGCGCAACTTTCATAGCTATAACAACATCTCTATATAGGCAAATTTGTAAATAGAATAAAAATATAATTGACTATAAAAATATCCACAGAAAATTGATAGCGAACAGGATAATATATTGCCAACTAGTTGGTTTATGAGACAGCAACTGATGCTGAAGTGACAAAACTTTAACATCCTCGTTTGTAAAAAAGACATTATTGGCATGGCCAACGATATCTCCCGATGTGGACCCTATGGATTGTCAGGCACATCCAGATTATATTGACATAAATTCATTCTTATACTGTAAACCAACTCATTGCCAATATCAGTATCTTGCATATGTTGAAAATAATGTAAGGAACATCATTATTATCAAAAGGAATACATTCACTGACAACAAATGTAACTAGCAAAGGACGCTTATCCACATATAATAAGACCAGACGTTTTTTGAATGAGCCATGACAATATTTGCGGAACATTCAGTTCTTTATTAGGTAGTATTTGGTTTTCCTATATAGGTAAGTACTGAAATAGAAAACACATTCACGATTAGAGAAAATTGGTAAAATTAATGGTGTTCTTTCCTGTGAAAGTGAAATATTCATCATAGTGTTACTATATTTTTTCATAAATTGCTTTCCTAATAGACGCAAAACTGCTTTAGAAGATGAAAAACAATATCATTCCCCAAAACAGGCATATTTCTTGGAAATGATTTCAAGTCGAAATACCAAAAGCGAAATTATGTATTAATATTTTTTGTCAGGACGATAATAGTGATACCAATCATGATGTATGTACAGTACAGTGTTGCCAACATAATGAACTCGTTTTGTGCAAGATTGTAATGAAATGCGCAAAATCCCACCGAAAAGCGCGAAATATAAACTCATAGAAAAATGGACGCATCTTGAAGCATAACCTCAAAAGATCTTCCTGTATCAAAATATCTTCCTGTTTTATTCATGAGGTTGCAGCCAATCGCTGGCTGTTAAAAAGAGAAACAGCCCTGTGATTAGCTGCAACCTCTCAAATAGAGCCGAATTATAATATCATATATCTCTATAAAATCTTTCTTCTGTCTTTATCACTTTTCTATGAAGGCGTAGGGGAAAAATAATGAAAGGTATATCTGGTTTTCGAAACATTCTTGAAAATGCTACAGTAATCATTCTCTCCTAAAACGAACGAGAACTTGCTATCAGGAATTCACTCTAATACTTGATTAATTTCAGTTATCATGTTAATGAACATGAAATCTCCTGCAGGAACTGAATTAATGGGTCTTCTAATTGGGATGATCATGTTTATATTCAGATTTTGGGGCACGTTCCTCTCAACAAGAATTTGGTTTTGTCAATAAACTTATATGAAATTACATTTTTTGTAATATGGTGGATACTTGGATGTAATGTAATGTAATTTTATATGATTGTAATATCTTTGTTTCCTAATGGAATTTTACATTCATAAAATGAGTGGAAAGCTTCATGAACCAACTTTCTGTTGAGTTGTTCAAAAAACATAAGAGACAAGACAAGAAAAAATAAGTGGTCGCGGTAAGACATTGGGACATTCCTTTAATATTGTCAACTTCAATGAAGAGTTAGTGACAATTTTGAGTATCTGAAAAGAACTAACTATAATAAGAATATTTTAAGTGTTTTGTATATATGTTACGCAAATAAATTAATTTGATAAAGCAAATCTCTTTGAGTTGATAAACTTCTTAGAGAATCTTGATTGACGAAACATTTTTGGTTTCATAAGATTTTTCCTGGTTTTGACTTGAGTAATGCTGTGTTGATTTTACCAATTTTCTTCACATATCCACTGAATTTACAAAAATATTTCATCAGATTAAAACAAAACTAGGTAGTGTGTTACTGATTTAAACTCCGTTCTGTCGGTTCTATAGGGCGGCCACTTTTTTAATGGGTTTATTTTGCTGTTTCCCAAACTATAAGAGTTACAAGGCCGTTTTGTAAACAGTATCACATCAATAAGCATGAACTCATGACCGGATCAGATACTTTCGATTTGTTTTCATAGGTAGTACTCCTGAATCTGTAACTTTTACTCTACTTGATACATCTTGTAACTCCTTGAAAAGACAGCATCAAAAAATGGCCAGCTGTTATTTGTTCATCCTTTCATAAAATTCTAAATGTCTCTTTTTTCGTTGAAAATTCTTCAAAAATTCTATCGGGCCTTAACATGTAACCAACAACTGTCGCTACATATTCAGGCCCATCATTTTAAGTACCTAGCTAAATGACATAGAACTATCATAGAAATTAGTCAGATAATAGGACAATGTTCCAACATGGGCGTTTCGTTATGATTTCGTTGAAGATAGTTTCATCACAAGCAAGAAACAGTTATAAATTGTAACCAACTCGATTTTGACGGATTCATTTCGTTGCATTTGAGCCGCACTGTATGAAAGAATATTTGCATTTCATCAAATTCAAGATTTCAAACATGTGGTGAAGTCAGATCAATATTTATAAGTATTTTATTTTCGGTACGACATATTTCAGAAGAATGCCGGAGGAAAACTGGAAACAGTAAGTAAAATTCAAAACGTAATTCTGTCGTTTGTTTGCAACTTCGACTGACTCTCTCACAGGGTTGTCACTTGATATTTTATTTTCGTACTGATGTTTAGATGATTTAGTAATACTTCAGCGTAACAACGCCGTGCTTCGGCGTAAGAACGCAATGAAAATGTTCAATGATTATAGAGGTTTATTACGGGACTGATGGAAGTGGCAACCTTGATCTTTCATTTCCTCAAAACTATTTATTTTTTGATAGTTGGCTACTTTCAGGAAGGTCAATTCTTCTTCTTATTTTCAACGGGCTCGTTTTCTGCACCTTGAATCCAGTTACACTATTTATTATCATTGGACCTTGCTTGTAACAGAAAATTCCAACAAAAAACCCACATGTAATTAATTCTCGGTGTCACCATTTCAATACCAATATTTTAAAAATACTATTCTGGCTAAGCTTAAAACCCGTGAATAACGTCGTACACTTCCAAGGACGACATAACGAGGTACAGAATCCATAATAAGAAGAAAAGTGCCGATGTGGAGTACTTCATGCAAGTTGGACCGCCCAGTTCTCCACCAATGTATTTCGACCTCCTCAGAAACAGGATTAATATGACTAGAACGGCTTCTGTGCAGAATATCGTCACAGAAAAGGCAAGACTGAAACAAAAATGTTTGTCGATTACATATAATAATATAAGAATCCTTAAAAGATACATGTTTCACAGTAGTTCACAGGTACTCTTGAACTCTTAACGTACATAAAAGATGAATATCTTGACAGAGTAAAATATCTTTCATCATTGAGTTTGAAAACATTGATAGGTAAATGAAGGAAATTAGTGAATCTCTAAATCGACTTCAGATTCAGATTCATGCTTCATAACAAAGACTATTTCAACCATACTTCAAAATAAAGGGTACTGTAAGATCTTATCACATTGAAAGTTATATCTATAGGATTTCTTATAAACTACGTATTATATGTTTTTGGGTAGCCGAGTCGATATTTGACCTGTTTTTCAACAAAACAAAATCGTAAGATAGAACTGATTGAAATATTTCTCAAAAGACATCACAAAAGTTGTTTTGAGTTTATAGTAAAGCATTGAAATCACTATTTATTTTTCTATGAATGAAGTCTACATGAAACTAGTGATGGGCTAATTCGAATTAGAAATAATCGATAATTCGATTATCATAATAATTCGAGATATCTAATCGATTATCACAATAATTCGAAATAATTTTTATATTATTCGCAATCACAGATACACAGATCACAAGTTTGATACTATCGGCGGCTGACGTAAAAATGACAGTAATTTTTAAAGCGGTTATGTTTGCAAGTACGAATTGCAAATGGTATTAGAACTGCAACTACTTTGGTTATTTGTCATATATATAAGTCAACCACTGATAGTTCCAGAGCCAATCGAGGATGGATAAAGAAA